GTGGCAGGAGTGGTGGTGGTGGTGGCGAGTGGTGGTGGAGATAGCAAACATGGGTGGCGGTAATAGTGAACGTGGGTTAGCGGTGGGTAGCGGAGTGTGGGTGACAGAGGTGGTGAGCGTGGGTGGCGGGGCGTGTGGCCACCCATTGTTATAGATTGTCAGTAAGCCATGGAGAGAGAGAGAGAGAGAGAGAGAGAGATTAACCTCATTTCAACACTTCAATCATAACCTGCCACCACCACACCGTGCTACCGCCACACCAAGTAACACCACTACTATATGAACGACGAATTTCTTCGTTATCTTAATTAACACGAAAGTTATCATTTATCCAGTCGTTGATATGCAGCTTCAGGAACTGTGAGGGGAGGGAGAGAAGGGGGGAGGGGGATAGGGAGGAAGGTAGGAAGAGGGAGGGAGGGTGGAAGGTAGGGAGGGGAGAAAAGAGGTGGGGGAAGAGAGGGGAGGAATGTAGAGGGGAGGGAGGAAGGCAGGAAGAGGGGAGGAGGGAGGGAAGAAAGGTAAGGAGGGAGAGAGAGAGAGAGAGAAGTGGATGGCAGTCAATATTCTGATACCCGATTCATCATTCATTATCGGATATTTGTAGATTCTCAAAAATGTATATGTACGTCACTTTGAATACCTGATAAAATACCTTAAATTATTACCCACATTTCTCTTTTATCATCGTATCTCTTGTCTCAAATAATCGTAAATATGAACAAATAGAATAGGCTCGTATCTCCTTACAGCTGATAATGTTGGAGGCAAACACGTGACTGGGTGGTAATTATCAATGTTAAATAAAATTACCACGACCATGACACCTTAATTTAACCTACCTATAATATTTTTTTTTGTTAAATATTTGTGATTGTTGTTTTTTATTGTATTAAATTTCTTTAGGTTAGATTGTTTACTCTAAGTTTAGGTCAAGATAAGATTGTTTTTACAAATAATAAATACAGATTATAAACAATTTTAAAAGCAAACAAGTACTTAAACAACTTACAACTATAAACAGATACAAAGAGACTGCAATTAACTTTATAACAAGACAAGCAAACAATACTCTGCAAACCACTTTATAACTACAAATAAATACAAGCAACTTAAAACGACCAAAAGCAAGCAAACCACACACACACACACACACAATGTTGGCCTAAGTACCGTAGAACAAACGCACATACCTCCCACGTGGAACAATTTAACGTCGATATAACCCACATGGAACAATTTAACATTAATATAACCCACATGGAATAATTTAACGTCAATATAACCCACATGGAACAATCTAACGTCAATATAACCCACATGGAACAATAGGAAGTCAATATAACCCACATGGAACAATTTAACATCAATATAACCCACATGGAACAATATGAAGTCAATATTACCCACATGGAACAATTTAACATCAATATAACCCACATGGAACAATTTGACGTTAATATAACCCACATGGAACAATATGAAGTCAATATAACCCACATGGAACAATTTAACATCAATATAACCCACATGGAACAATTTAACATCAATATAACCCACATGGAACAATTTGACGTTAATATAACCCACATGGAACAATATGAAGTCAATATAACCCACATGGAACAATTTAACATCAATATAACCCACATGGAACAATTTAACATCAATATAACCCACATGGAACAATATGAAGTCAATATAACCCACATGGAACAATGAAGTCAATATAACCCACATGGAACAATTTAACATCAATATAACCCCGCTAGAACAATTTAAACATCAATATAACCCACAGCTGAACAATTTAACATCAATAACCGAGAACAATTTGACGTTAATATAACCATGGAACAATATGAAGTCAATATAACCCACATGGAACAATTTAACATCAATATAGCTTACATGGACAATTTAACGTCGATATAACCCACATGGAACAATTTAACATTAATATAACCCACATGGAATAATTTAACGTCAATATAACCCACATGGAACAATCTAACGTGGAACAATTTAACGTCGATATAACCCACATGGAACAATTTAACATTAATATAACCCACATGGAATAATTTAACGTCAATATAACCCACATGGAACAATCTAACGTCAATATAACCCACATGGAACAATAGGAAGTCAATATAACCCACATGGAACAATTTAACATCAATATAACCCACATGGAACAATATGAAGTCAATATTACCCACATGGAACAATTTAACATCAATATAACCCACATGGAACAATTTAACATCAATATAACCCACATGGAACAATATGAAGTCAATATAACCCACATGGAACAATTTAACATCAATATAACCCACATGGAACAATATGAAGTCAATATAACCCACATGGAACAATTTGACGTTAATATAACCCACATGGAACAATATGAAGTCAATATAACCCACATGGAACAATTTAACATCAATATAACCCACATGGAACTACTTTACGTTATTTAAAACTCACATGGAACATGGATAAAATACATATGGAACAAAACAAGTGACAAACGCTGTGGCACAATTTTACGTTTGGAACAGATGTACTTATGGAACAAATGTACCTATGGAACAAATTACTAGAAACGATGGAAACAATTTTAGAATAACTTTATATTAATGCACCAATGGAACAAATTTCAAAATGGGGTCAGACTTGTACAACTGGAACAAGTCAATGACTGGTCTCTCATGGAACAAAACTCATTGGTTGTACAGTACCATAGAACAAACATCACTGACTAGATAGTATCATGGAACAAACTCAGCAGTACCATGGAACAAACTCAACAGTACCATGGAACAAACTCAACAGTACCATGGAACAAACTCAACAGTACCATGGAACAAACTCAACAGTACCATGGAACAAACTCAACAGTACCATGGAGCAAACTCAGCAGTACCATGGAGCAAACCCAACAGTACCATGGAACAAACTCAGCAGTACCATGGAGCAAACCCAGCAGTACCATGGAACAAACTCAACAGTACCATGGAACAAACTCAGCAGTACCATGGAACAAACTCAGCAGTACCATGGAACAAACTCAGCAGTACCATGGAACAAACTCTCACCATGGAACAAACTCAACAGTACCATGGAACAAACTCAGCAGTACCATGGAACAAACTCAACAGTACCATGGAGCAAACTCAACAGTACCATGGAACAACACTGGAACAAACGCAGTACCATGGAACAAACTCGACAGTACCATGGAACAAACTCGACAGTACCATGGAACAAACTCGACAGTACCATGGAACAAACTCGACAGTACCATGGAACAAACTCAACAGTACCATGGAACAAACTCAACAGTACCATGGAACAAACTCAGCAGTACCATGGAACAAAACCGTGTCAGTCTCGGGAACGTTTTTATACGAGTAGTCGAACGAACACACACACACACACACACACACCACCTGCTGCCCTGTGGCGAACAACGGAACCTCGACCAACACACACACGGATACGCGCACTCACATGGATACGCACATATGAACCTACATACTGTGCTAGATGTGCGTATATACAGGAGGCTATAAATAAACACACACACACACACACACAATATATAATGAAAACATCGGTAGACACGATCATGGCCACCCAGCCCGTAATGACATACATCATGCTAATACGCACATGTGTACATATAGGCACGCAGACACTCATTCATACGCATACATACACATACGCTAATACTTACATGTGGGTATAATCAAAAACTCATCCACACATGTTGGTACACACACGCACATGAAGGCAAAGACATTTGTTCATACGCACAAGTAGGTATATGCACACATGGTCATACGCACATGCACACATACGCTCATGTAGGTAAACACAGACAGCCCCACTTATTAGCACCCAATTACGCCCTCCAACAAATTGGTATCACCCTCACCTACCTACCTTAACCCTACCTGTCCACACTAATTACACCAGTACACCACCTGATATATCTCATTTGTGTATGTAATTATGGTTGGGTTTACCTGAGCCATCATCACTACACTTGGCTAAATCTCTCTCTCTCTTAATACCCATCCTCTGTACTCCGTGGGTATGGGTTAGAGAGGAGGGTACAGGGGCAGGAAGAGAAACATTGCCCACACATGTCTGAGAGAGTTATGTGGGCGCGTCCCTCGACAACTGACACTTGGTCGTCCATACCCGTTACAATCTAACCATTTGGAAACCTGCCAAATATCCTCTTGAAAACACTGCCTCTGGTGAATCTTTTTTTTAGTATTCTTTTAATACCCATTTCCTGTTTCGACTTTTGATACGCAAGAACATGTTATTTTGGATATGGGAGGTGAATCATAAACTTGGTATATGGGTAAAATTCCGTGGATTTTTTTTTTTTTATGTATGTCCGGGTTTTATTTTAATCTCTTCTACCCAGTTCCTGTTTCAGTGTTGTCTACGGCCGCTGAGCAGGGACATGTATCTGGACATACGAGGCGAATACAGTCATGGTTAGGGGGTGTATGTGTGTGTGTGTGTGTGTGTGCATGCCCTACCTCGTGTGTCCCCGCCAGAATACCAGGGTTCTTCTTCCAGTATCCCAGAGCACCACCACTTGCCAGTTCGCGTCTTTTGAATTAGCAATTACACCCCCGGGGCCGTGTCATTTTCCGTTTCCCCGGGCGAGTTCCGTGGCTGGTAGACCCACAAGGACCCGCGTGTCACATCACTACGTCAGCTCACCCGGGTATAGTGCGTGTAAGATCCCCGTTTATGGCTCCATTCTAACACCACTCCGTTAAACTCACTTTTTGGCAACTCTTCTCCTCCTCCCACCAACCCACCCCCCCTGGAGGCCGGTTTTCCAGTCATATATACTAATACTAACACCCCTTAAAACACACATCTCTTTACCACCCTTTATCTAACTCTTTCCCCCCTAATATTTTCACCTCAAACTACTAAACCAAGAAGGTTGTACTTACCGTCACGGAGGGTTGAAAGTTCCCGTATTTTCCTCCAACAGTATTCAAAACACTGGGACTACACCCGCACGCACACCTACCCTCCACCACCCTCAGGACAACACTGCTGCCACACACACTCTCTCCTCACCACCACCACCACAGCTTTGTTCCCCCCCTCCTGCCGCCTCAGAGCCATCTATTGGACGCGCCGCTCACTAGAAACTCAATACCCACTCACAGGCCATTGAGAGGGGCAGATGGGGTGGTTTGTGATGCAGGTTAATGGCATCTGTTGGTGTTTATGTTGATATTGTTGGCGGGTTTATAAAGGCGCGTGTTTATGATGGCAGGTGGCTTAGCTAGGGACGTGTTTAAGGTTACATGAGGCTTTGAAAAGGGCGTGTTTACATTACATTACATTACATTACATTCGTGTTTGTACGGGTTTGATGAGGACGATAATTATGAATGATTATATACAACACAATAATTGTAATTTTAGGCAATAAGACTAAAATTATAGACTGGAGTAGAAACATAAACAAATTGTATGCAGACAATAATAATAATAATAATAATAATCAGGTCGTTAAGTCATCTTACTCAAAGGGTTAAATCATTGAAAACTTATATAAATAAATCATTATTAATCACTACCATTAAAACACTTGACAACTTAATTACCTCGTTTAACTTTCAACTACAATAACAACCAGTTAGGCGGCTGGAACGTGTGTTGAATGAATTGACACACTTATCAACCATTGTAAAACTTGTCTCCAATTTAGTGAAAAAGACAGATAATCAGACAAACGGATCAAACCACTACAAAAGCTCTCAATTCTACTGTATAAATAGACAGACAGACAGGAAGACAGACAGACAAGCGTATCACTCCACACCAACTCGTCTCCACAGTAATAATCTGGGAAGTGTGAAGGCAAATGTTCTCATCATTGTCCAGGCGGATACCAGTTCAGCCGATCACCTGAAGATTCCACCTTAACTTATTTCACCTGAAGATTCTACCCCAGCTTATTTCACCAGAAGATTCTACCTCAGCTTATTTCACTTCAAGATTCGCCCCCAGAAGATTCTACCTCAGCTTAATTCACTTCAAAATTCGCCCCCAGATTATTCCACCTTTAAATTAACCACCGTAATTCTACACCAACTTAAGTTAACCTAACCAAACGCTAACCTAACTTAAACTAGCCAAAACTAATCAAACCTAACATAATCAAGTCAAAATAAGAAATTGTCCAGTAAGAGATTGTGATTTTGCCCAGCCAGTATACGACATCTCATTCCCAGTTCACATTTCCACCTTAATTTCCTTTTATTCAACGTTCTATCATGCAAATTAAATCTTATTACAAGTATATATTATCTTAAAACAAATAAACATATGTAAAAAAGCTTAGTAAACTTCCAAAAGTCGATGCTACAGAGAAGTTTTGTTATAAGAAATATTAGTCATACGTTTGGCACCACAGGATAGGTATCAAGTGCTGGAATTGAGTTGAATGAAAAATTAATAAATATTGAAGATCATTGTATTAAAATAGTGAATATTGATATCTAATTAATAGTGGGTATTGATAAATGATAAAGTGGTTACAGCTGAATTATGTATACTGTACTGTATATCTGTATTCTCTACATACATGATGGATCACTGTAAACTTTTGCAAGGCGATTTTACTCAATATCAGTCTATTTAATGTAATTCTTAAGCCGGTACAATAATGTCCCAGCCTTTTAAAGATTCACTAATCCTCTTTTTCTCCTAAGATACTGAACTATTTCTCATTAAAGTGAGTAAGAGTTTTCATGTATATATCCGTCAATTGGAGCCTTTATATTCGAGGTTATAGTACAGGTGCAGTTTTATCGGGATAACTCATAAGTGACGGGTGACGCGGATGACGGGTGAAGGGGGACGCGGATGACGGGTGAAGGGGCGACGCGGTTGACGGGGGGTGAAGGGGCGACGCGGTTGACGGGGGTGAAGGACGCGGTTGACGGGGGTGAAGGGGCGACGGTTGACGGGGGTGAAGGGCGACGCGGTTGACGGGGGTGAAGGGGCGACGCGGTTGACGGGTGAAGGCGACGCGGTTGACGGTGAAGGGCGACGCGGTTGACGGGTGAAGGGCGACGCGGTTGACGGGGGAAGGCGACGCGGTTGACGGGTGAAGGGCGACGCGGTTGACGGGGGTGAAGGGGCGACGCGGTTGAAGAACAATGACGGTTGGCGCGGTTGAAAGGGTGACATAATTCATAACTCAATCCTCCCTGATACTTAAATTAATACACCATTAAAATACAACCAAAACATACAAGTATTACCATAAACTTATACTGATATTTACAACGAAAAACAAAAACAAAAAAACAAAATACTGGTTCTGGATTCTTTACTGCACAGGCCAGGAGCACTATCAAGGCCACCTCACAGACTGTTTGTTGCCGGGTCATCTACACTGTCAGCAGCTGAGAGAGAGAGAGGCTAACAGAAGACAGACAGATAAAGAGAAGCAGAAAGACAAACACAAAGAGAGACACAGATAAGAGTAAATGGAGAGACAAGGACTAAAGTGGAAGTGACCTGATACCAGTCTCTTGTTTGCATCACTAAAAAGGTAATAATCCATATCTAGAATACCTTGACTCACACGCATCAAGTATTGCTCTCCCCGTGTGTGTGAGAACGCCTCTTAAGACTCACTGCATAACTTTGATGTCACTTTGGCTGTTATTTTCGTGTTAAGAATGACAATTGAGCCTCCACTCTCTCTCTCTCTGTTAATCGTTCAGTAAAATTATCTTGTGTTGAAGCCTAATGTAATAGGATCCTTAAAATATTGTCTTTTAATAGTGTGTGAAAAATCATCTGTGTGTTGTAGCTTTATGGAGGCAGTTGGATAGGGTCCCATATTCTCAAATTAAGAGGAAAATATTAAAATGTATTGAGTATACCTGAATGGTCTTTCTGTTGATAACCTAAGGACCTACTATTTTCCCAGTTACATTATGCACTCACCTCATTCTCACTTCAGTTCACTCTCACTGCCAGTTGCGTACATCTTTCCTTTCACCTGGAGGGAAGGTTTTCTTACCAGTAATATACTGTAGGCAGCAATTCTCTAAACTTCCTCCAACAACTTAGCACGGGCCTCATCAGGGGTCACGTCACCCAGGTAGCATAACTCATCAACACAGTCCAGGGATATATCACCAATGTTGAGTTCCTCCTGCCTTTTACCTGCACATACAGAAAACTTAAAAGTCAGTAACATACTTACACACACTGTTCACTTTAGTTGCTCCTGTACACAAACAAAGAAGCTCAAGAAGTTTGGGATTAAAACAAGAAAACACCTATTGTTTGTCTTTTAATTGGACTGTCTTTACAATCAACAGACATAGAGCTAAAACAATAGCACTTTTACATTTCGGTAGGTATCCACCTTCGGATGTACAGAGAATGTAAATACTGGCAAATTATGATTAACTGAATAAATGAGGGAAATACCGTACTGGACTGTAAAGGAACGTAACCACCAGGCTAAGGGGTCCTACTGAAGACAAGGTCATGACATCTACTAAATCATTAAGTGAGTGAAGATATTACTAGTAATTATCAATAAGTTCTTGACTGTAAACCTTAAGTAATCCTATAATTCCTCTGATAATCACAGCCGTCTTCTTCAACCCTTGCCTGCTAATTATCACAAAATGAACGTGTGGTAATGAAGAATTTGGGCTATGAAGTATATCCCTACATTTATTCAAAACTGTCACCTCACTATTATTCCACCTGTCCCCTGACTATAAATTAATTGCTAATAAGCAAAAAATTTGTACCATTTGAGACTATAATCTTCTTTATCTTCTGTATACTTAAATGTCAAAATGTTAACATCAAGAGTATATAATATATGAGGGAGTTAAACTGCACATCTGGTCCTTGGGATGATTCTGCAACAGAGGAGGTCAGACTGGGTGACCACACTGACCACATCTTAAGTGTAAACATGAATATTGTCACTTACCAGTCACATTAAATTATTCACATATTCTTCAGGACATTTAGCTCAACATTAAAAGTTATGTGTATTATTATGTAACAAACCAAATGTTTTGTTAACTCAGAGCCACAGAAAATCATTACAATTATTAGTGACAGGACTACTATACACAGTCTTCTATTGATGGGTCATATTCTCTGTGGTAATAACAGTTAGTTTCATCTAGAGTCCTAATATAAGACAGCGTGAACAACTCACAGATTATATAACATCTACGGGGGTCTGAAATGAACAGTAACAAGTAATATACCTGCTGCTAATATCCCATACACATACTATAACTTCAGTGATAATCAGTAGCAAAACTTCCTACCATTAACTTCATATTATACAGTGGTTTTGTGAAGCTGTTCCCACAATCCTCTCAGCCTGTTGTGTGAAGGACTCTATAACCACACACATAGTACAGATTTTATTTACAACACTTGGGTATGTCTCTGATCTGTACTGTACTGTATTTACCAGATAAGATAGATATATTTCAGAGATGTAGATATAATAAAAGTATTGGGACTACAGTTACTATCCCTTTATAGTGTCTGAGAGAAACAAAAGCTATCTATGTAGATCAGTAAATAAAAAATAAAAAAAAATAAAAACCATGCAAGTATTTTAAGGTTGGATTTGTTTGAACACTTTGAGGAATTAATATTTGAGTTTAGAATTCTCACAAGGCAGGAAAGCAGGTACAGGGTATATAAATAATAAGTATTTTGATAGTATGACAACTGGTAGGTAATTCTACTACTGATTTCAAAACCAGATACCAAATCCTCCCTATCTTAAAAAAAAATCTATTCCCTTCCTATTAAACACAATATTCTGCACCGAAAGTCAACAGTGATTTTGTTTACTTGTAACTGAGTATACTGTACTGGCATGACACTATAACACACCTCCATGATATCTCCTTACAGCTTGACACCCACACGACTATAGTCAGTTCTACGATGCAGTCTTTTCACTAACGTATCTATAAATCGTAAAAAACATGTTGAGTATTTACTAATGATAAAAAAGAATTATGGTTCCTTATTTAATTCTGCCGTTTAATATTTCAAGATTAAAATACTATATTGTATATTTTTGTCTTGTAAATCTCTCTCAAAATACTAATACAATATAATGCATCTGTCCAAAAAAAAGAGTACAGTTAAAATTGTTGATAAAAAATAAAATTCAAATAAGTAAACACTAGGATTCTACAGTAAACTATCACATCCACTGCACACTTGGGTGACATGATCATTGCAATTGATCATGATGTTCTTATGGCAAAATTAATAGGGAAAAGAACGTTATTGATGGTGACGATACATAACTTAATTCTTCAATCTGTTTATCTCAAGTGACAAGTGTAGTTGGTCCTTATGAAGACAATTAGACATATCAAACTGCTGGTAACCCTTTGTCTCATTAAAATATCTATCATAGAATACATCACATAGTACAATGGTCTTTGGTTAAGTACATTGAGAGTGTTTTTTCTAGATAATGGATATCTTTTTTTTTTTTCTCCCACAAACAGGTCGAGTTAACTTCAGAGGATGACCTAAGACGAACTTGATACTTAGAAGAGCCCCGATGGAAAACTGCAAGAAGGGAAGATTTGGTGGCAATTACAGTCACGAAAAAAAAAAAAAAAGTTCTGTCAGTCCACCGTCCCATCCATGAACCTGTGAATCCGAGACAATGTACAGCGTTGGGTTCACAGATGGCTCGATGTGTGATGTGTCGGATTCACTGGTTCAAGAGTCTCGGGGTTCATGGGTGGGACGGAGGACTGATGACACTTTTTCCCCCATGACTGTAGAGTACATGTGTGGTTTATGGTGGCACTGGGGAGGGAGGAATAGCTCTCTATCACACATCCATCCAGACCTTCAATTACAGAGAACACCAAGAGTACAGGGTTAAGGAGGCAAGATGAGGGATACAGTAATACCTTCACTAAAAAGATTCAAAACTACACAGGGATTAAAAAAAAAAGAGTTTCTCATACTTTAAAGCAGATTCTCTTCCTCACAACTGAATTAAATTAGGACAGATGCCCAGATGTGGTGAGGCGACTAGAGAGACCATATGGCGATGAGAGAGAGCATGTGTTGTTTTGTTTTGGTCTCTTGGTCACCTGTGTTATGTTGTAGTAAGGAAGAACCTGCAAGTATGGGATGAGGAAATATGATGATTGTGGACAGAAGGAGCAAGGCAAGATAACCCATGCAGGGAACTTAAAGAACAAAATAGGTTATCACAATTGTCAAGCACACTGACCATTAATAAGAATCGAGCATTAACATTCACACAAACTAGTTAAAACGTACCTACTTGCGATGTCTCTTTGGAACGAGACCAAGAAGAGAAAAAAAAAGTGAATTAAGATTTCATCATTTAATGTCAAAACCTTTAGAAGAGAAACAAACAAGAGTTAAACAATGGATGTAGAGAAAATCCACAAGTTGTAAGACCAGAACCAAAGCTAAGAGTTGTCCTTTTTAATTCAAGAACAAACAATAATGAATAAAATTTCTCGACTAAAGGCTAAAATAAAATCCGAGCAAAATCTACCAACAATCAAGTGTCATCTGCCTGTTAAAACATCTTGTAAACAATAAACATCACTGGTATATAAACTCTCACAGCACCAACTGAACACGAGATAAAAGGGACTCTCTCGAACAACGGGAACATAACCTAAAATATGACTGAAGGAAGAACCAAACCGAAAAACACAACTTTTAGTATGACGATGATACTAACAGTCTCTCTTCCTGAGCCACACACGATACTAATCCTAAGTGGAATCTGACCAGATGACTGAGAAAAAAGATGTGGAGCATCAGGCAGAGGTTAGAAGGGAGTAAGTTAACACCAGGTTTAATAACAACATAAATGCATTAAATTGTCATCTGAGTAACATGGAAGAAATTAGCACTTCAACAGACAATCAGTGAAACATCTATTTTTCCAAAGGATTTATGGGAACTGAGTAACATTATGAGGATGAACAACACCGTCTGTACTCCACCTTAGTTGTTGGGGGTCCAAGATGAACACAAGTAAGAACTGTGGTCTCAAAATGGTCGGTCAGTTACCTAAATAAAAGTAGAAGTTCTGATCTAAGAGAGAGACTTCTGTTCTATTTTTCTCTTATGAAAGTGGGTAGCAATGGTCTGATGGCCCATTAGGGGCAGTGTGGATACAGCACACTGAACACTAAGCCTTCAGCACTCAAGGGAACAGCTAGACCAACACAACATTCAACCAACCTCACTTCTCCAATTTTAAAGTCTGGTACCCATTCACAGCTGGGTGGCCTTGGGTACGGTAGTCCTGGGTAAGAGTTACCCTCAGGATAGGAAGCAAGTGCTGTACACACTCAGCTGCCACACCTGTATGTGGACACAGATTAATACATCCTGGTGTTGATTGGAATCATTGATTACTTTAGTGGCCTTTCTGATACCTTTTACAGGAAGGGATCACCTATCACTCTTTTGTTCTTCTCTCTTTTGATATATCAGGTCTAGCCTGTCTACAGGTGGACACACAAGGCATCTGTAATACCCAAGTCAGTTTAGAGGTGGAAATTTTGTGTTGGATCCATTCTGGTTCACTCTCTGAGGCTCTAGATGGGCACCTTTTAAATGGGGCACTGAAACCCACATCATCATACCATCTTCTATGCTACCGTACAGTGTCGGACACTATTCTTTCTAGTCGTATCTATACTCACACACGCCAGAGCTACTAACAATGTATCAACACCTTGTATACTTCTGAGTCAAATATACATTATATACTTACCAATATACACAGTTAAGGGAAGTTTATCATGTTAGAACAATATCACTTGTGTCACTGAGAAATATTAACAAACAACTCGAGCGGATCAGAAAAAAGGTCAAGTTTCTTCTTTTAAGATAAACTGGAGAAGCCACTTTGGTTAATCATGAACTTACAGCACATCAAGTTTATGAGAGAAATGAACTTTAAGTGTGAAAAATATATAAGCTTCATAAAATGGTTCATATGTAATGTTAAAAGTAATGCTGTTGGTGAGTTTATATTTAGAGGTGCTTGACTGTGCTCTGTGTATTGTCTCGACACATAGTGAGACTTACTGAACACCTAACACTGGACACACAGGTCTGGGCAGATGCTCTTATAAGACTTCAGGTATCAACAGCATAGTAACCAAATGCCATATAACTGTTCAAGCTATATATGTGCAAGAGGCAATAAAACACAGCTGCTTATGATTGAGAACAAGTGAGTGTCTTTTAGAAAGTGAATTGTACAGAATCCTTTTAGTGACCTTTGATGAATTAATGTTAAGGAAGCTACCACACTCAGGAACCTCAAAAGAACTGCACAGTGCTTCACTTTCTCAAAAGAAACACAACTTTGTGCAAGAGAGAGACCTTGAAGGTCTAGTAGATAAATATATCAGGGTACGGTAGTTGGTAGTTTGAGGAGGAGGCAGCGAGCCCAGCGGCTGTGTCACAGGACATGGCCGTAGTTGGCTGTGGTGGTGGGCAGGCTGGAGGGAGCCGGTTGAAGATCTCGGTGAGTTTGTTCTGAAGAGTATCTGGTTGCTAGAACAAAAACACATTATGATAGAAAGAGGATAACTATATTCTGTGTACTATAAATGTCTATACTGTTTACCATTAACTTCTATCACTAACAGTGGACTATTACTAAATTTTCAGTGAATCAATAGACCAAACCATATGCATTAAATCTTTTTCTTGTCTAAGTTTAGTTATCTTATTTGTTGTGTTATTTCCCCCGTGACTGGTTTTTGTAACACCTATCTCCAGGAGCCATTCTTCTAAGTGCTTCCACATCTCTCATTCTTTAAACATTCCCTCCAAACATCCTTATAAACTAGACACTGTTCTTGCACCAATACTAAAACCCATCCTAAACTTTTAATATCCCTCTGTTAACCTTTTCATTTGTCATTTATTAAACATCATTACATTTCCCTTACAACTCCCTATATCTCATCCCTCTTACTTATCACTACACCCTGGCAAGTTCCATCCCACTACAGCACCACAAGTAATACCTCAAGACTCTCCCGTATATAGGCTGTCACACACTCTTTCTGGCCGTCTCATCCACAAATGTTCCTTAATACTTCTTCCTAAGACAAATCCCTCTTATTATATTCTTCTAACCATGGTAAATGTAAAGAAAAAATCCAATTACTTTTCCCTGTGTAAATACTAATGACTCCCTGGCAGTATTAGTCTCTTTTATGAACCTCTCAGATATTTACACTTCCACTGCTTCAAAGATCTTAATATGAATTTCCTTAAAAAGTATCAATTTAAACCTGTTTGTCTGACTTCTCTCTCCACATAGTCATTTTTTTTATACAGTACTAATATCATTTCGTTCAACATACATACATACATACATACATACATACATACATACACTCATCTACCCTGTATGTTATATCAACCCTCCCAACCAAACTACAATACTGTACTATAATCTACAGTCAAACCAAAATACCTATAAGCAGTAACAACATTCCTAATTACACTACAATAATCTTAACTCATTCACAATACTAAATAAACTAACCCAACTAAACTACAATACCTATGTATGTATGTATGTATGTATGGATGTATGTATGTATGTGTCATTTGAAAGTTTTTGTGGTCGATAAACTAATCTATAAATCAATCAAACAATCTACCTACCTATCTATCTAACAATCTCTCTATCTGTCTGTCTATCTGTCTGTCTGTCTGTCTGTCTGTCAACTTACCTTGGCCTGAATCTTAGCCACAAGAGCCTCGAAGGACTCAGTCATGAAAGCCTCCGTGATCTGCTTGCGGCGCTCCTCATCCGCCTTCCTCTTCTGCTCGGGGCTTTCTGTCAGCACCTTCTTCAGGGACTCGAAGGTGATCTCCTCCTCCAGTGATCGCTGTAAGAGGCCGACGATGAGTAGAAAGTCCTCTCTCTTATTGTGGTTTTGATATACTAGTTATACTGTGTTAGATTTCCAGGTTATATATCAGAGTTGTTTTAAGTGACTTGTCTGTGTTATATATTTTTTTTTATTGATATATAATATGGTTATGTGTCTATACCTCCATTATTTTAAATTATGTCAATATATTTCTGATTACTGAATATAATATGTCCCTTACATTCACGCTCCCTCATCTTGCATATGATTTTTTGTTTAACTTCTTTGCTGTACTGTATGTGAATGTTCTCTCAGTTCATAAAAATACCATCTGAGAGTTTATTATTGTAGTTTTAGTGTTCATGTTGAGATAAAATAATACTTTTCAATACATTATTTAAAGATAAACTCCTAAATAGTTGATAAAACTGAGGTAATCTACTCTGACACTCACCCTGGGGAGGCCTGGGGAGGAACATGCACTGTCCACCTCCACACTGATGGAGTTGATGTCCATAGTAGAGGATGTGTGTTGTGTGGTGGAGTGGCGCCTCATGATGCTGGACACGCTGGCATTGAGGCGCTTCTCGTCCAAGCTGAGAACAGGTCGGGTACCATTAACAGGTCGGGTACCATTATGTAGAGTAATGTATTGGTATTACTCCATATTAAATTGAAATAATCTCGATATCCATGCTGAAGACAATCTACAACAGCAATAGACAAGTGTAATTTGTGCCTTCAATTGTCTCTCAGTAAACTAATTATCCTACCTGGTTCTGTCAACATATCATAAAACAGTATATTTGGGGCCAAAGTAATTTTATGTCTGCAATTTACTAACCTTTGTTCTTTTTGTAACTACTGTACCGGGCTAACATTGTCAAAACTTATAATGATCGTTCGAGAATTCCCACAACTTGTACCTAACTCCCCGAAAAATGTCTAAGGGCACAGCTGCTAAATAGACTTGATACTTTTATACAAACTTATGTCAGGTACTGTACTAATGTAGGCTGAACGTTTGAAATTGATGTGAAATATCAACATATATTACAGTACAGTATTATAATCTCAAGTGTATTACAGTATTATGGTCTCAAGTGTATTACAGTATTATGGTCTCAAGTGTATTACAGTATTAAGGACTCAGTGTACAGTGTTACAGTATTATAGACACAGGTCAGAAATTTGACTTGAAGATCATCTGTTGGTTAATAGTATTTTAGACCTTGGTTGATTCTTAAGGCAGCCAATCCCCAAACTGAACAAAGACTACCCAATCTAAGACAAGTTCTGGAGACTAAAGAGTGTGTTAAAGGACACTTATGTTTACAATTAATCTGTCAAACTTCATGAACTTGAACTAACTTGGTGCCAGCGAGAAGATCCAGCACTTTAGCATTGTCAAAGAGCAGGTCCTCTGGCAGGTTGCTGTGGGGTAAGTTGGAGTCGTAGTGAGACAACAACTCTGGCAGAAGGTGTGGGGCTTTGTCAGACCTGCAAAACAAAGACTAAGTCATCAATACACCCAAGGAAATCCACAATAAAATATACCTCAGCTAATATTGTCCTGTGTCTATCTTATGTTTCAGACGATTCTCTCACTATTGAATGTTCTAACCCACTACAGTAGCCTCTAATATCCTCTCAGTCATTGCAAAATTAAGTGAGTCAAGTCTGTAACTCCTGAGGCCAAACGCAAATTACCCTGGATAAAAAGAATGACTAGTAAAATACAGTAATTTAGTTGTTAGTCACTTGTGAATGTGTTCCCTCTCTCCTGAATAAAATCATTTGGAGTTAGTCAGATAAAACATCGTAAATGGCGTCCCTGTAATGAAGGTGTCAATTTCTGTATTTGTGACGGGTAAAAAATACGTTCACAGCCACTCAACGAGATGACCTTAGTTTACCGACCTGAGTTTGATGACAGCCGACACGTGATCCTTGAGGGTAGACACTAGGTGAGAGATGACCACCATGACGGAGGCCACCAGTGTGTGCAGCTGGATCGCCGCTACAGCACTGACCGCTCCTCCCTGTCCCATACCCTGAAACAATATGGCCACCGTGATGTTTCATTATTTATCCCTACAGTGTATAATATTAGGCACTAGAAATAACCCATATCTTTCATTTTATTATACAGTGTAGCCATTTATTATGGTATTATTTCACACATGTCTGGAAATCTCAATGAGAACTAATTATACAGGAATACATTAACTTTGGCAACAAATATTTCAAACATCTCTGCTAATTAAACATTTCCAAATGAAGAATAAAATTAAATCAAAAAGACTTACAAAGGATTATAACATCAACATATTAATCACTTAAAAAGAAGCCACATCTAACCTAACCTAACCTCAGTAAACAACAGAGATATATGACCGACACAGCAACACATTACCTGCACGTGGAAGAGAACTCTGAGGATGTCAACAATAACATCGTCGCAGCGGATCTCCGTCAGCAGCAGCATGAGAGTGGCGTAGAGTGCCTCGATGTTGGCCAGAGTGTTGTTGGCAAACTCGCAATTCTCCTGGATCGACAACAGGATCTCATTGCCAGATTTCTTCCAAAAGTTCACGTCTTGGCGCACAGGTTTCCCGAGTGTGAGTCCAAGTCTTGTGATCTCCAAACTGTTACAGGTACGAGAGAAGAGGAGAACGGTGTTAATTATGTAGTGATCTCCTCCTTAATTATGTAGTGATCTCCTAAGTTGCATACAGTACTACACCTTATGATGTCATCTACCTAACCATACCATTTATTATGTATACAGATCACCTCAAGCTTAGTTTCCCTTTTAAGCTTATTTAACCTTTGGATTAATCACCCTAACACTCACCTAACTGCCCCAGGTAGAGTTAGATTATTTCCTCATCAGGTGGAATAAACTGGGAGGGAGGGGGAAGGGGGGGGGAGGGGGGTAACCTTCAGGTGATTCATGAACATTTTAGATTATGTCAAGGTTAAGTAAGGCATTGTGTTCACTATTATACTCTACTGCCACCGTTGGACATCATTGGATCTCTTGTTTAACACCTGGACCTAAAGTAGTACTGTATTGATGTTTCTGGATATCTGGGTTAAGTGATGACCTGAATTAAATGCTGTTTATCTTGCTACGTCTTCCAAGTCTTCAGACAATTCAAGATCTGACGCTCATACCTTACTCAAACTAAACATTCCTTCAACTTTTCGCTTCGATCAATTCATTTATTCTCCAACTGTCTGCTTTACAACACCTGAAGGAGACTCACGTGGGCTTGGTGAGCTTCTCGATATTCTGATGTCTGTCAATGAGTGTGTGCAAGATCTGCTGCACAGTCAGACGCACGGCTGCATCACTCGACACCGAGAGCCGCATCAGGCGCACCAAGAACGACTGGGCGAACGTTTTGGAGTACTGCTCCGTCGTGTACTTGGTACCAACCTACAAGTGGAGGGGAAATAGGAAATAAAACTGAAATTTGAATCAGCCACAATGCATAGATTTCTTTGTCCCTATACAGTGTTAGAAAAATCTTCGTTCACCTGAAATAATTAATAATATAGTTGTTCCTCGTTCTATCTACGCTGAAATAAACAGTACAGTACTCACACCAAAAGCTATATTCATAAAACATAAATATTGTACGAGTATATCAAAATAAGTAGTGAATTATGTGTGGATAGATTAAAGTACCGGGTAACTGTCCCCTGTGCTTAAAAGAGTGTCTACCAACCTTGAGTAGAGACTTGAGGAGGAGGTGCTGAAGTTTGACCTCTGCCTCGGATCTTGTTGACCCTCCATCATCCACTCTGTCACTACCAGGCACCTGAAATAACAACAAAATCTATGGAGAATCTGGTCACTTGATCATCGGGGTTTGTTGCTCCACTCACAGCTTAAAGAGAGAAAGCAGTTATGAGGTGCTTTAACCCCTACAAAAACCTAACATTAATTACGTTCATTATCAACTAAATGCCATCATCACCATCATCAACTACAGGTGAGTGACAGTGAATCAAGTCACCTTCTCTACATCAATACGTTCCTACTTAAAAAAATTTCTCAGCATTTTTTTTTCAACTCTTTTAATCCCTTTCCTTCTCTATTACATGGTGGCTGGAGTCAAGAGCACCCACCCACCCACCCACCCACTCATTCACCATCTGTTATCTTCACCTTCACACAACCCATCACCTTCATCTATCTCTCTCATGTTCACTCTTCATTATCAGTCAGGAATATAAGGCTTATACTTGCACTCATTTTCACTCTCCATGTACTGTAACCTCTCTCACTATCACCAGCTTAACTCTCACTATTATCACTTGTATTTCCTTTATTATGTATCTTTATCATGTAACTACTATATATATCATGTACCCTTCCTCACAGTCATCATCTTAACTCAAAAACGTCAAACTAACACTGACATTATCCCTCTACTGTACTTAAATCTTACCAACAAATATAACCTCTGTCTCTCAGCACCCAATAGAATGACCCCACTGACCCCACATACCTTATTGAGAATAAACACCATGGAGTCAATCTTCTGGTAGTCGGGCAGGTGGTTGGCGTACTCTCCCAGGGCGTGGATGAGGGTCTCCTGGTAGATCTTCTCGGCGGACCCCTCCTTGCCGCTCGCTCCCCCCACCACCGAGGACCGAATGTGTTCCAGCAGAGAGTTGATGATCTCGATTACAGAGGGACCTGGGAAGAAAGATATTACACTCAACATGGTGGCAGATGACAGCAGGATAATGTGAAAAATACACTGAATATGACAATAGAAGCTGGTGTTAAGATCCTATATGACAGCCATGACAGTGGGATATTGTGACAAATACTGACGGTAATTGATAAAGTTACGATCGATTATCACAAACTTTTAAGCTGACAGTGTATCAATGTACAGTATATTTCTAGATAACATTCAGAACAAAACTTTTTAAACACAGCCAGATGAAACAAAGAGAGAGAGAGAGAGTGTGTCGCCACTCACCTATACATTCTCCTGCAGCGATGGGGATGATTTTGGACAAGACGTCAGCAATGCCGGTGCGGATCTGGGCAGGCTCGGAGCTCTTCTCGTTGAGGTGTGACATGATCAACTCTATTACCGTTATGCTGTACTGCACCTGAGGGGGGGGACACAGGTAAGAATTAACATATGACTAAATAACTTGACATATTTTCTCAATTCAGAATATACCAATGCAGTCATGATGAGTATTTCAAATTATTATGCAATATAATGTAAGTCTATATAATACTTGAGATGATAAAGTCTTACCCTCTTTTATTTAAGTTGAGGGACACTAAAGGTATACATTGATAATAATACACAATCTAATCTTTTCTGTATTTCATTATTCTTAACTTACAAAATATATGAGCTTTAATACACACATTTTCTGTGAATAAATATACTGTTTCTATAACCTCAAATATGTTCCTCATTAAATATTTGCTGGTAGTTCTTTTCTCTGATCAGAATACTTGTATAAACACTCGACTGATATCATCTTCCAAGGGTACACCAAGAGTCTAACCATAACACACACCTCCCTCTCATAACACACACCTCCCACTCATAACACACACCTCCCTCTCATAACACACACCTCCCACTCAGAACACACACCTCCCTCCACCTTCTCACCTGTATGGAGAACATGAGGATCTTGAACACCTGTACGGCAAAACTGTTGTTGACCCACAGTCCCTCATGGTCCAAGTGGCTGGGTAGAGACAAACCAGACCACAGGTAAAGTAATGATCGTCTATTAACATATTACATAAAGACACTAAGGTCAAAATTTATATTGTCATCACCCAAGACTCTGAACTATGAGCTGCTAAACCTGCATTTTTTTATCAATTTTTCTTTTTTAGTTTACATCAATTGTTGTTGTGTATGATATTGGCAGCAGTTACCAGCATTTACCAGCCCTTGTCTCATAATATACAGGTACAGTATATATTTTCTGTTTTAACCCTCAAAGATTCCTCTCCCATCAATTTTGAGGGGTTTAAATTATCAATCATTCTGTAACTCCAAAGGAATTCTATATGATGGCTCAGTAGTCAATAATGTGAAACAAATTACCTTCTACTTGTGATACAGAAATATACAATTCTTTTTTCAATCATCCAAGTCTTTTTTTTTACTATGTTACAGGGTGGGTGGGCAGATGATGATGATGATGAATGTTACAGGGTGGGTGGGCAGATGATGATGATGATGATGATGATCCCAGTCTTTAGCATTGAGGAACTAATGGGTCACTTTGGCTTAACGCTAGTCCACTGAAGGATTACTGCCAACATCACCAAACATAAGTGGTATTATATTGTACTTATTCTGCCGTTTGTTGAATATAAATGAATTAAAAGTACAAGGAAGGAATCTAATCACCCATCCCAGCTTGGAACTGAACCCAGGACCTCATGCTTGAAACAATAACACTCCACCACCGAGGTATGGAGCCACTATACACCAATCAGAGGTCACTATAAAGCCGTAAACTCACATAAGGAGAGGCTTCACCACGTTGTGTATCTTGCCGTAGGTAGCACGAGAGACCAGTTCCCTGAGACACATCTCCGCCAGCACGTGAGGCTCTCTTTCTCCCTCCGTCTGGTGGTTGTCTGGGGCGTCACCCGTCTGAGTGGTGCCCTGGTGGTGTAAACAAACAAAACCATTAATTATACGTATAAGTTGTGCCCTTACCATCAACTTGTTCCATCTTATATATCTAAACACGACAGACAGACGGACAGAGTCGCCACGTACCTCAACGTAGGTCTTGTTCCCCTGCATGTTGTACAGAAGTGAGGGGACGATCTTCTCCATGTGTGTGGGTAACCAGATGTTCTCCCCCAAGTTATCCCAGTCAGTCTTACGCACGACACCCTGGAGGGAACACCACACGGCCATCACTATAACGACGGGTCATTATTTGTGTTTTCGGGAACAGTAAATGATTGTTATGAACAGTAAATGATTGTAAAGACCACTCAATGATTGTTATGTTTTAGGATGGGCAATGAACAGGAACCAAAAAATTTGTATACTAGGAATAAAGTCTGATCATAAAACTGAAACGAATGTAAATATGTGTGTGTGTGTGTGTGTTGTTGATTCAGGCCATCGTGCATTAAAATAGGATAAGACTTTAATAATAATAAAAATACTCTGCCATTTCAACACAAAAGCCAAACAGTGAGCAAAAAGCCGTGGACTGACCTGGAGACCTTTTATCCCAGCTGTCCTGAGTTGCTTTCTGATAACCTCGTTGTCTTCACTGGAGTAGCACATGGAGGAGAACTTACTGACGAGGAAATCGTATCGGCGGTGGTACGAGGGCGTGTCCTCTCGAATATTTGCAAATTTTTCAAACTGTAAAGAAAATTAAATTAAATACCGTCCATAAAAAAATGACCGATGAGCCATTTTAAGATTTTTCAGTGTATAAAACAGAGTCAACGTACAGATTGTGTTGCTCTGAGCTGCAGCGCCGGTTCGGTGGACTCGAGTAGTTTCTGAACCATCTGCAGGAAAGACTCCACAAACAGGTTGAGAGTGTTGGCGTGGCAGGATACTAACAGCTGGTCCAGAGCGTCCATAGAGATGATGACGTACCCTGAGGAGATCAACACATTGTTATCATGACATACACAACTTACACTTGGCTTAAGGCTCAAGGGATTAACAGCATCAATAAAACTACAACCAGGAAGTAATATATTAAAGAATCAATGTTAGAAATGTGTAGTGTAAATTATCAAGTTAAAATAAACTACAATATGAAAACAAATCAACATGAAATATTGTATGTAATCAAAATACCTTCTCACTCCTTTCTTATATACTATACGATACTATACTTATAAATAGAAAATAATGTATATCAGATTCTTCACAAACACCTGACTATCAATTATCCCAAGACCTTTATGTTCTGAACCAAAGCTGACATGACACTTGTTTACGGAACCAAACTATAATGTCAACAAGATAACCCATACAGTAGTGCATCTATCGACCAAAAAAATAAATATTATACCATCTATGAATCCACAAATTGACATCTAAACACATATATACAATCAAACCTCTATACAATGAAAGTCTCTCTCCATACAATCCAATAGCTGGGGGAGGGGGGGGGGTCTACATCTGACGAACCCTCGATGTACAAACTGCATTAAGTGTGTTCAGTACAAGAGGGGGAACTTCAATATACTGTACCCATGATATAACTCTTCTTTAAGGCTTGAGGAACAGTCCCCTTCATATATACAGTATAGCCATCATTAACAACACCCCTCAGTTTCCTTATATAAACATCTATAACGACTACACTCTTTAGTTCTTCTTCCTGATAAACATTTAAACAGATATATACATGTATACTGGTAAATATATATACTTTAACTAATATATATATATATATCTGGTACTTTATATCACTGTTCATATATTTATATCTTTCAGCTTATCATTATTTATAACTTTCAGCTTATCACTATTTTTAACTTTCAGCTTATCACTATAGTATCACAAGCTTACACCACACTGTACTGAACATACATTACACACCACCACTTCGTTTTTCCTTCCTTCCCATGATCACCACCTCCCCCTTCCCTCCTTTTCCATGACCACCAACCTCCTTCCCTCCCTCCCTCTCTTCCCATGACCACTCGCTTCCCCCTTCCCTTCCATCCTTTGATCACCAACCTTCCCCCATTCCCATCCCAAGACAACCAACCGCCATCCCTCCCCCCCCCCATACCTGTCTTTCTTCTGTTTATGTCCCGGTAGAGTCGGTGCGCCAGGTAGTCCCCTATACGGTCCAGCTTATCTGGGGAGTTCATCGCGTACCACATCAGCTTATCCATGTTCGGCTTGACTAGTCCATCCTGCAGTGAAGGAATGCAGTACCTTGTTAGTTTAGGAGAAGAGTTGGTTAGACATTGACCTACAGACCCACTCTAAACACAACACAGGACTCACCTCAGGTATCGCCGGGAAGATGTTATCCACCAGTCTCTTGTAGCGAGGCCTGAAGGCGGAGCAGCACCCACAACAACCTGCAACATGGGGACAATTGTAACATGGCTCTAGTGTAACCAAAGTCGTGGAACCAAGGTCGTATTAAGGTTTGGTTATACTGTACTTCATCGGTAAATAACAAAACTGTATTGTAGTCTCACCGCAACCAGAATTGTTGTCAGTGACCCAAGTCTGGCCTTCAGTCCCTTCAGTATAGTGTATATTATAACCAGTGGACAAACTAACCCTTTATGATATACCAAGCATCAAGACACAACCAAACTCAATTATTCTAGGATAAGTTTGGTCTGTAGTGTGTGATGCTCGGTAGACCATTACACATGCAAACTAGGACAACTTTTAGCTGGTGTGTGTGTGTGTGTGTGTGTGTGTGTGTGTGTGTGTGTGTGTGCGTGAAGGTCCGTTATTATGTACAAAGCTAACAACAAACTGTACCAACTTCTCTAGCAAAATAAACTGAGAGCTGAACCCACAAAGACAAACACAAGAGGCAATGGTACTGTATTGTATTATGTAAGTTATGGCCACAGTACAGATACAGTATGTGCTTATTAGTACTGTATTGTATTATGTAAGGTATGGCCACAGTACAGATACAGTATGTGCTTACGGTATTAGTACTGTATTGTATTTAAGAAACCAACACAACAGCTAATGTATATATACCTGGAAGATATCAAGGTAAATACTGTAAAAGGAATTATTGTTCGTCTTTCTACACAAAATGGAAAACAAAGAATTCTATTTTTTTTTATGAATTTGTTAGTGTGACCATAGACAACTTTCTCACAGAACCTGAGTCAAACATAATGGTCTCCCCCACACAGTTAAATGCCTTGTGGTAGTCTCTGGGGTCTTGCTTAGGATGAAAACTTAATTTACACTTTCAATCGGGAATAACTCGCAGAACTTACGGGTAAAAATGACAAGTAACGGAATTAGATCTCTGTAGAAACACAAATAAACTTTCAATTTTGGAAGCATCGCCAATAACACTTTTATTTAAGAACTGAGGCTAATAAATAAGGGTTTACATTAAATAGTTTATATTATGGAGTGACTCAGTTTGGTCAGTAAAATGTTTATTAATATCCTATTGACAGCAGAGTATCTACAACTGTCATTAATATTTGCTTAAATTAAGTTTTAATTAGTTCAAACACAATACTAATGTACAGTCACCCACAAAAGTCTGGTCACCTCTCCTTCTGAACCCTAAACCTTGAGATTCAGACTCATGAATCTGTACCATTTATGAACAGAATAATGTATCGGTGTTAACTGCTTCAGGGTCACAAGTCTGAATCTTGGGGTTCGTGGTGCAGGAGGAGAGGCAACAGGACTTTTGTGGGTGACTGTACAGGAAGCTTTATACAGGGAGATGTTCCTACAACACACAGTACAGGTATTGTATTCTCAACACTGATTGTTAAGTCAACCTTTTATCAGTAACTGTTACAGTACAAGGACATACAATACCTGCACAAGATACTGCACTCCTAAATACAATAATTACACGGATATTAAATTGTTTTTAAAATTTCCCGATGTGATGTACAGGTATTTAGTGTACATCAGTAAACTTAACTGTATGTAATTTGATTAAGACATGATTACCAGTATCACACAACTATCATCATACTTACCATTTGGCAGATCCACTGAACTTAACAATAAAAATATATTATAGCTAAATAATTGGTTATTACAATCATTCTGTAAATTTCACATAACACACTAAACTACAGAATGGTATTTTAAGATTCATACTCATAAATAAATAGTAAACATTCAGTTGTAGTTATGTAATTAACTCATGTGTTGTATATACAGTATACTCGTACTGTACTGTGTAAAACGATGATCTGTCTCTACCATGGCAAGAACAAGCCACACTGTACATGCCACTACTGCATCACCTTCATCCACACACCACTAATATGCACTACCCAGCATGACGGGCAGCGGGTAAAACGTACTGTACTGCAAAATATCTCCACACAAAATTTTCTACAGCACTACAAATGTCAAAACCATCAAAAAATTCCATATACAGTACTGTACTATACTGTACTCTAATTACTGCAAATCATTACACTGACCTACAGATTACAAAAAAAAAGTGTGATCATTACTGACTTTTCAAGAGTACAGAGGAAGAGGAAAGCTTTAACCCTGCAGTACTGTATTTACAAGGCAACACAGCATCATCACATCAGGGAACACTAGGCAACACAGCATCAGGGAACACTATGAAGAATGAATCACTTGTATCTGAAGCACTACTGTGTGTATGTCTACTGTACAGTCACTCGCAAAGTCCTGTCGCCTCTCCTGCTGCTCAACGAACCCCGAGATTCAGACCCATGAACCCGAAGCAATAGACTGTAACATTATTGTCCATAAATGCTTCGGATTCACGAGTTTGAAGCGCATAGTTCGTGGTTGAGGAGGCAAGGCAACAGGACTTTTGTGGGTAACTTTACAACTTACTGTACTTGAGAGGGAAGAAACAACCCTATATATGAAGAAGCAAGAGTGAGAAAGAGACTCATGTAGACACTATGGATACAACATACTGAAGAGACATTATCCCTACAGAGAACAGGGTTTCTAATGAAGACTATACTGTAGCTAGATGTAACTAGACACTCAATACTGTACAAACATACTAATAGAGGCGAGCCAACGAGTGAGGGTCGCTAACAGACACTATGGGGCGAGTCAGCGTTATCTAGAGGGAGGAGGAAGGGGTAGAGGGAAAGGAGGGGGGGAAATAGTGTCCAAAGACTCACATGCGGCATCTGGGCATTTGACAGCCACAGCCTCCACAACATCAGAGAGGCGCTCACGTCTAAAGCAGCACCTCAGAAAGGAAGACATCGTCGGGCCACTTGTACCTCAGCACTCCTTCCTCAGGGGCGGGTAAGAAACATCCTAGGTTGAGTGGTCAGTCTCACACACACTTTATGATAACTTGTCTCTCATGTGTGCTGTACAAACTACATTATAAACTGTACTGTAAGGTAAACCCACACTACTGTCTCTCAGCACTACCACATGGGTTCTGTATTGTATTGTCCTGTATGCTTATCAGAGCACATTACAGTACTGTACTATCTCTGTAATGAGGTTTGATATATCATCGTCAATGTTCTTGTATTATCAATGACTATCACACAACAGCTGTTCACATCTCACAGTTAATACCACTCGACGACAGCAACTTGCCAAAGCTCATGATGATGTCACTAGTTTTACCCTTCAACTCGCATCACTGTTTCTGGCCGAGGAGAGGAACACTTGTTAGCCACACATCAATCTATCTACGCTAATACCATTACTTCCAGCATCACATTCTCGAAACACCTGATACCTGGACCGTACAACGTCTATTTAACCTCCCAATTCAGGTCACGAGTTTTTATTTATGGGGGATAAAGTCTGCCTCAAAGACCTTATACAACCTCATTAAAATCTGGCGTGACAGTTTAACTCAAGTAACTGTGTTATGGCATCAGTTAACAGAGCATCCAGCTGAACTGTATATGACCCACACATGATAACTGAGCAGGGTATACAGTTCTGCCTTAGTTCCCAGTGTCTTAGAGATAATAGGAAGCAACATGTTAAATACTTCACCTTAGTTCCCGGTGATGGAGGTTACGAGGAAGCTTCCCTTAATTCCCGGTGATGGAGGTTACGAGGAAGCTTCCCTTAGTTCCCGGTGATGGAGGTTACGAGGAAGCTTCCCTTAATTCCCGGTGATGGAGGTTACGAGGAAGCTTCCCTTAGTTCCCGGTGATGGAGGTTACGAGGAAGCTTCCCTTAATTCCCAGTGATGGAGATAAAGGACTGACCTCCCATACTCCTCCAGACATGACAATTAAACTTTTATTATGGTTTAGCGAAATGATTCTACTGCTTTAAACTAGATCACGTTGCCTTGATATATATTGCATCAGCGGTAAAAAATTTATATATATATACCGTATCCATAAACAATATAAAATAAAATAAATCGGGAAAAATGTACCAGGTGTGCCGATACAGAATAGGTTTTAAAGAAGCAGTGGATATTGGGGGGTGGTGTGTGTGTGTGTGTGTGTGTGTGTGAAGTGGGTCAAAGAGTTAAGTTGTGAAAGCAGGTCACAATCTGACTGCCTCTTGACCGAAGAATCTTTAATATTTGAGATCATGAAACACATATAATACAACCCCCCCCCCCCATACTAATTTTATTTACTCTCTCTCTTTGTAAATAAAAGTATAAACAGCATTCACCAATTTAATTTTCTCTTTCTCTCTCTGTAAAAAAAAGTTACTCTACACCAATTTATTTTACTTTCTCTCCAAATAAAAGTAACTCTACTGTATACCAATTTCATATAATAGGAGAAAATCTATTACACAACACCAATTTAATTTCCCACATATACAAATGAATATCACTTGATCATGTGACTTTTTCTCCAGCAACAACGATTATTAAAAGAAGAGAAGACACAGGTAGTGATGAATAATGACTGAAGTTAATGCTGTATGTATGTATGTAGGTCACAGATGAATTAGCCAGTCTTATTTACATAGTTACATACGACTGTCTGTCCTAGTGTGTAGCTGTACCTGGACATACGACAATATACTGTATCTGTTAAACTAGGATACTCGCTTTACCATGTTATAATTACTAGTTTCTGGTTGAATAGGTAATATACAAGTGATCGCGGGCCCTTCGTGCCCGGTGAAAGTTTGAACGCTCGTGCTTGGCTAGAGCGCAACCGCCGTCCGGCTGACAGCGTACAGCGTAAATAAAATGGTTAATTAATGCCTTCCTAAAGAAACCATCGACATGGGACCAGGTTTGTTCCACTCTACGAATTTTTTGCGATTTTTCCACCAAGTTTGATGAAAAACGATTGTGCCGCATCGGCTGCCCAGAACAGACACATGGCTATTCCTATAATATATTAGTAATATATTCCTAGTGAAAGAAAACAGGAATAAAGGAAAGGAAAGAGAATAACAACAACAATCATAAAAAAAAAAAAAAAAAAAAAAAAAAAAAAAAAAAAAAAAAAAAAAAAAAAAAAAAAAAAAAAAAAAAAAATAATAATAATAATAATAATAATAATAAAGAGTTGAGGGTGGAAAGGGTATTGAGACGCTAAAAAACATGCCTTGAAGTTAAGATAGGATACAATGGATTAGGATAAGATACGTCAATTTAGGCTTAGTTGGATAAAATTCTTCCCTAGATTCACAGAAACTTACAACCTAACCTAAACAAGGAATATTGAAACCAGAAAAGTTAACTCAGACAACGCAGCAGTAACAAAACACAACAGCAATTCTGATGATGTTTTTAACGTACTGTATACAAATAGCTAAATTATCATTATTCAACTCGTGTAATTAATGCAACAATAGGTAATTACTTAGAAAAAAACCCAACAACAATAGGGTAATTAATTTGGCTTTCAAAATGTTGTATTGTATGAGATATGTGGTAGTAAACATCCATCCCAGCTGACTAGAGAAGGGGAGAAGGGGTATATCCAGGGTTTAGATTAGCATTTAAGAGATCAACAATATTTAAGTCAAGTAAGCTAAGATGGGGAGGGCTAATCTTCAGGTGGTCAGTCAGTGTGGGTATGTTGAGCGTAGGAGAGGTTACGACACGGCCAATATACATAAACGACCCAAATAGCCTCATGCGTGCAATAGATGTTTACTTTGTATATACATAATGAACATATCCTGCTTTCTACCTAATATAAACTAAAATATGTAAAATATATATAGCGCCATACCCTCATCTACACAACTGACATATCAGAGAATCATAGATATACCATAGTTAAAACCTCTTGAGTATAACGATATGACAATTTGAAGTTCTTGACACACACACACAAGCGGCCAAACATACTGTAATCTTAACGTTGGCGCCACGCTGTTAACCTGTAACTAGCTGTAATTATTCAGGGAGGGTAAGACTTTATTCAGAGCGGGTAAGACTTTGTTCACGGCGCAGGAAGACTTTATTTAAGGCGCGTTACGACTTTATTCGTGGCGCGGGGAGAGGCAAAGCCCAACTCAATTTAACTTTTGTGTAAGTGGCGGCGGGGTGATGAAAGAAGGAATTGCAACACACGAACTTGGAAGACAATTGGTGAAGTTGTATCAAAAAAGATGTAACGGAAATGATAAGAAAAATAATACAAATAAAGATGATAACTGGGAGAAATGACAATAATACAATAAAATAATAATAATAATGACAATAATAATAATACTACTAATAATAATAATAGATTACATGATAATAATAATGACACTAATAAATAAATAATCTCATATCAACATCAACAATAAGAAATAAATCAGAACACACACACACACATACACAAACACACACACACACAAACACACACACAAATGCAAACAGAACCCACAACTCCCAGAAATACAGAATCATACAATACTACAAAAAAATATACAGTACTGAGAAAGACCAAGGTGTATAATAAATCAGCCTGTATCCATACCATATTTCAATACACAATCATACAACCCCCATTAATACAACAGGTGCACTTATACAAAATACAATTAACCTAATACACATCATATAAAGCCTAGTATCATTTTTTAAACAATATACAACAGACTACAATACATACAATTACCGACATCAACAAAAAAATACAATCTTTACAATTCACAATATTGACGCTATGAAAAGGACAATAGCCGAGGTAAACAATGGAATTATAACACAGTCAGCTGATGGATGTAAACAATGACGTATGTGACAACCACCACCAATCAGCTGACGGATGTAAACAATGACGTCACACCCAGAATAAACCTACAGACATCACTACACACACACACACACATATACATACAAAGTCATCGGTACACACACATCCACACACACACACATTAACACTCAAATAAAACAAGAAAAGATAAACAAAACTCATCTGTTTATGTCAGTTTTTGTTTACATTACCTGGGAGTCTGTACAGGTGAGTGACTGACTGACTCATGGGAACTGACTAACAAAGAGTGACTGATATCCTGAGTGACTGATTGACTGTCTGATGGGAAGTAACTAACAGAGAGTGACTGATATCCTGAGTGACTGATTGACTGTCTGATGGGAAGTAACTAACAGAGAGTGACTGATATCCTGAGTGACTGATTGACTGTCTGATGGGAACTAACTAACAGAAAGTGACTGATATCCTGAGTGACTGATTGACTGTCTGATGGGAACTAACTAACAGAGAGTGACTGATATCCTGAGTGACTGATTGACTGTCTGATGGGAAGTAACTAACAGAGAGTGACTGATATCCTGAGTGACTGATTGACTGTCTGATGGGAAGTAACTAACAGAAAGTGACTGATATCCTGAGTGACTGATTGACTGTCTGAAGGGAAGTAACTAACAGAAAGTGACTGAGTTCTTGATTGACTGGGTAAACTGACTGACTGACTGACTGGGTGGGTGTATTAGTGGTTTCTGTGTACACGTTTTAACTAAATGTTCTTATGTTGGGAAGACGATAAAAGGATACACATAGAGTATTACGTACGTACACACACAAACGTAATACACCTACACAGGCTACGTACACACACACACAAACGTAATACACCTACACAGGCTACGTACACACATAAACACCATTACAACACACTTCTAACCTACATACACACACCTTATGCAATATACCTACATACATACATACATACGCAAACACACACACACGCACACAAAGACTCACATGTAAGTCTTCCGCCTACAGACAAAACTCGCATGTGTGTGTGTGTGTGTGTGTGTGCGTGTGTGTGTGTTCGTCAAGCCCCATTTTTAATAGGTTCTACCCATCCCTGACCAACAGCCGTAAGAAACCCCCATTTTTAAATAGGCTCGACCAATTTCTATGAATCTCCAAGGTTAGGTTAAGTTAGGTTACGCTGGGGCCTATTTGGTATGGGGTCTGTTAGCACTGGGGTCTATTTAACCTGCAATCATTTAATTAACAGATCACAATCACACACGAACAATGAGGCACCTAACCTAACCTAACCCCTCTCCAGGTAGCCTTAGGGTGTTTAATCTCCAGGTGTAATAAGCTGGGGATGTCTTAATCAAATGTATAATCAGCTGGGGAGTATCTTAGCCAGGTGTAAAATAAGCTGGGGAAAATCTTAACCAGGTAAAACAATAAATTAAAAAAGCTTACCAAAAAAAAACAAAAAAAAAAACACCAAAGGTTAAAATCACATCTATTTTACGCTAGTTTCATCCCGTTTTTTTTCCCCAGGATGCACAAGACGTTCATCCTATCCGGCCAGTGACGAGAGGTGACACAATGGGTTACTCAATCATCCTAGAGAAAAAAATGATCCCTCGGTCTGTGTTTGCGGATAGACGGATAGATGGAAGAATGGGATGGTTGACGGGGAGACAGAGGAACGGACGGATAGGGAATGGGAGGGATAGGAAGAGGAGAGGTAAGCAAGTGGTGTAATAACAGAATTAACCGAAGCTAAGATGAAGGCTTATTGAGAGAGAGAGAGAGAGAGAGAGAGAGAGTGTATGTTTTGTTCCTGAATGTATAAGTATCCACACACAAGACATATTCTCACTCTATGAACGTATCTGTGTGTGTGCGTATGTGTCAGCATGTAAACAAGCACACACATATACAGCCACACACACACACACACAACCTCAGATACTTCCGCCCAACACCACAATAATTCCCCCTTCCCTCACACCCACCCACCCACCCTCACACCCACTACCTCATACCCACCCACCCACCCACACAGTCTTCCTTCTACATCCACACACTCCCCCTACTACACCCCCCTGACACACACACACTACACTGGGATACACTGTGTCTTGGTCGCCAGGGATACAGAGTTATGTGCTGGTGGTAACAACTTGTAGCTCTCCCGACACTGCTGTAACTAGATCACTACTTCCTGTAATGTGTTGCTGTATCCAGAGTGTTCTTGGTGTAATAATAATAATGAAAATAAAATAATAACAATAACAACAATAACAAAACTAATAATAATAACATCAATAATAACAATAATAATAATAATAATAATAATAATAATAATAATAATAAAAATAATAATACTAACAAATAATAATAATAACAAAACTAATAAAACTACTACTACTAATAATAAAATAACAAAAATAATAACAATAACAATGGAAAACGAATAACCAAAAAAAAATCGATTCCTAGGAAGCCCTGTGAATCTTCCTCACTGAAGGGCATCGAACCCACACACCGAGACGAGTGTTGTGACCACCTGCACCACAACAGCCACTAAAACACACACACACCACTAACACCAAGTGACACCGTGAACCAATGGTCTATAATGGCATCAGAGTCTGTGGGTTCAAACCTTAGTAAAAAACCTTTGAGGACGATGGTTTAACCCTTTGAGGACGATGGTTTAACCCTTTGAGGATGGTTTAACCCTTTGATGACGATGGTTTAACCCTTTGAGGATGGTTTAATCCTTTGAGGATGATGGTTTAACCCTTTGATGACGATGGTTTAACCCTTTGAGGATGATGGTTTAACCCTTTGGGGACGATGGTTTTAGCCGCCCCGAGGACGATGGTTTAACCGCTTACGGCGACGATGATTTAACCCTTTGACGACGATGACAACCCTCCAAGAGGACTCGAAGGTTAATCTATAAAAAGTCAATACAATCCCCTTTACCATAACAGCATTCAGTTAACTTCAGCACAAACTAAAAAGACCAAAGACAGACCTTCTCTCGCGGTAGTCAAGCGCACCAAGTTTAATGCAAATCCACTAACCCATTCTCCGAGTTATTTAGCAGAGGGAGAGACAGAAGACAGAGACAGACAGACAGACAGCAAGACAGATAGACAGATAGTGGTGAGATATATTCTATTCCCCGAAAGTTGAGGTGCAGGTCAGCGGTATAGTGTAAAAATGTTTTATTTTTTTTGTGTTGAGGAGAAGTAGAGAGTGGAGGAGATGGGATGGTTACAAACAGGAGGAGGGAGGAAAGAGGGAGGAGATGGGACGAGAAGAGGGAAGGGAGGGGCCTGAAGTGATGAGAGAGAGAGAGGAAGGGGAGTTAAACTTCAGGAAGCAGGAGGTGTGCACTGCAGCTGACAGTGCTTTCAACATGTATCAGTGGCTGGTGTCCGTCCGTCAAAACCACCACACACACACACACACATCTTTTACACACACACACACAACTCACTAATATTACTGAGGTTACAAGTACTGTCTATCATCACTTTTTTTTTTACGGGTATTGAATCCACCCAGAGAGGCAAAAATGTAATAATAATAATAATAATAATAATAATAATAATAATAAAGAACCATAAAGAAATACAAAAATTAAAAAAAAAAAGATTAAAAGTGAGAAACAATATTGTATATGTATGTTGTGTTGTCAATGGTAAGAGAAACAATTGAGACCCCGCAATTGTGTGTAAATGAGGCAGAAAGTCAGATCATTAACCTGGGACTTGGTCACATATGGCAGCAGAGTCTACCATTAGACAACACATTATGCTTCCAATATCTTCCCAGGCGGTAGTACCTCCCTGTTTGGTAGCTGCCTACTACCTACTACCTAAGACGGACACGAGTTGTAAAAAATAAACAAGGCTGTGTTTATCTTTTGTGTGTACGATAGTTTACCAGACAAGAGGCAGCAGCCAAGGCGCGCTCTTTCATGGCCAGATGACCTCGCTGCCGGGCGTAAGATCCCCCACTCCCGCGGAAATACAGCCTATGATGTGGCTGTATCAGACGCCCGTCAGCCAATCATCGCCAGGTTCTCAAAGCTTTCATGCAACTAACTCACCAATTACTGTCCAACTTGTGCCCTCGTAAACTTGATGCAGGCGAGCAACAGGGACGGTGATTGGTGGAGTTAGATGCAACTTTAAGGACCTTGGCTGTGACTGGCAGACGAGTGACCACTTGTTGAAACAATGACGGTGAGGAACCACGGTAACAGGTAGTGTCTTACCCATGGCGGACACACATTACACCATTAGTCAAGCACAAGACAACAATAATGGTAACAATATAAATCCACATATATAGAGTGAACACAAGAGATGTTTCCCCGTCAAATACTTTATAACACAAAGAAAAAAAAACAAGTGAAGTTAACCAATGAAAAAAATCACCAACAATTACTCACACGGTGTTGTAACCTCTCTCCCCAGTATAACACTATCTGTACACACCTTCCACTAGGGCGATACTAAGGTGGGAAATTCTACCAGTAAGTAAAGAAGACCCACCCTAGTTGACTCCCCACACCGCACAAGACTACCTTCAAAGATCAAACAAAAATGAGGGATAGGGATGGAGGGGTGGAGAACCAGTTGGTCAGCGTGTGGGGGTAGGAGGTGTGGGGGTGTTGGTCAGCGTGTGGGGTAGGAGGGGGTGGGGGTGTTGGTCAGCGTGTGGGGTAGAAGGGGAGAGTGGGGGGTGTTGGTCAGCGTGTGGGGGGTAGGAGGGGGTGTGGGGGTGTTGGTCAGCGTGTGGGGTAGGAGGGGGACAACTTTCACTATGTACACAATCCTGTTACGAAAGACAAAACGAATCTCCGCTAAGCAAGATCCAATTCTCCAATGGCTAAATAAACCTTAAGTCAATATGTATGTATAAACAGCATCATAATTAAACCAAGACTTCACCTTAACTGGTTTAGGTTTAGTTAATACCAAATAATACGAAGTTAAAATTAATCTCTGATGTTTTTTCGTTCTTGTCTCCTGACTGGTATTATCTGACCCTATCTTTATTAATGAATTCTGGGAACAATAATAAGGGCATGGAGACATAATTTCTGTTTTAATATGTCTGTCTGTCAGTTACATTGTCATATACCTTCATTTACGGAGATAAATTTACCGTAAGAGCCTTTGAGAAACAGTACTTGCCCGTAAATCATTTTCAAAACACGTAACATATAAATAACCTCAACTGGACATATATTTTTTTCGAGATGAGAGACGGTTATATAAAACTGCGGTAGGCGTGTTGGTGGGCCTATAAGCCTCTCGTGCGTGTGTGTGTGTGTGTGTGTGTTTGTTTGTCCGCTGACCGTAAAAAGCTTAACGCACACCACAACACGTCCACACACTCAATACAGTCATCTTGTGTCGTCGCCTCCGCCGCGTGACACTACCCAGTCGCCTCCACCTCTCGTGTGAGGAAGGAAGAACCACTATTAAAGAGAGGAGAGAAGCACGTCAATAACTGGGTTACGAGAGAGCGGAGTATGGAGCACGACACGTTCACCCAACCGCGGTTAACGGCACACTGACTGACTCTTCTCTCCGACTCAGAGCCAGCCATTCCAGCCGAGGTTTGGACCCGCCTATCTCCTCTCCTCCTCCCACACTGACTGACTCTTCTCTCCGACTCAGAGCCAGCCACTCCAGCCGAGGTTTGGACCCGCCTATCTCCTCTCCTCCTCCCACACTGACTGACTCTTCTCTCCGACTCAGAGCCAGCCACTCAGCCGAGGTTTGGACCCGCCAATCTCCTCTCCTCCTCCCACACTGACTGACTGACATGTAATAATTTCCAAAATACATCACCAAAACGTTGTCTTTCTGGTAATTTATCCTCAAAATCAATATACATCAAATTAAAAAAAAAAACTAGTATTTCCCCAAAGAATAATAAATTAACCGTATGTTCCCAGTCCCTGTGAAAATATAGTAAAATAATAAGGTCAAAAACTCCCGCCAAAAACACACAATGTTGAAAGTCTCGCTCCAAGTTTTAAAAAGTCAACCAACACAGCGTAATAAAGTGAGCCATTTAAGTGAACTATAAAGTGAGCCATTTAGGTGAACTATATAAAGTCTTTTTCAGGCTTCCTCGCTCAACAAACAAAAGAATTAAGGAGTGGTGAGACCAAGAACCTAGCCTGGGTGGGAGGGTGGGCGGGCGGGCGAGTTGGACTGGGTGTGTAGGTGGGCAGGTGACCAAGTTTCCTCAGATTTGTCCCTCCACCCTGCCCTGCCCGCCCGCCCACCCACCCACGCCGACTGGATAGACCTGTTGAAATTAAGCGTGAACCAAGGACACTTAGTACAGCAGACGAGCGTTTATGTCCACTCGACCACCGCAGACCCTTCATACCATAATAAAAACCTGAATTAAGGGTCAAAACTGTGATTAAGTTAAGTTAGGTTTAAGTTTGGTTAGCGTTGGATTTTGTTATGTTAGGTTAGGTTAGCGTTGGATGAGGTTATGTTATGTCAGGTTATGGTAAGTTTGATTAGATTTTGTAAGGTCATGTTAGGTTAGATTACGATGTGTTTGGTTAGGTTAGGGTTAGGTTAGGTTAGGGTTGGTGTGGTGTGGTAGTCTTAAAGATGACATAAGTTGGGGTGCCTGTTAATCTTCACGGACATGAGACGGGCAGACGGATGGACGGACGGTAAAACGGACGGTGATACAGAAAGACAGACGCACGGACGGGCTACATTCCTATATCTCTCCCTCGGTGTGGCGGGAGATAAAAATAATGATAAAATAGACAAGAGACGACCTAAGCACGCGCACACACTACCAACACCTCACTATGTCTATACTTACTCACCGGCAATCCCCCAACACACACACACCTTAACCCATCGACCCACTCACACATACAGTACCTACACACACACACATGCACATCCAAACACGCACACAACCACCTACTTTAAACCCAACACAACCCCCCCTCCACACCCACAACCATCACACACTCCAACCTTCCACCCAGCCCCCACACAGCCCAACCTTCCACCCAGCTCCCACATGAGTCCAACCTTTCCACCTAGCCTCCCCACACACTCCAACCTTCCAGCCCCCACACACAGTCCAACCTTCCTGCCCCAGCCCCCACACACTCCAACCTTCCACCCAGCCCCCACACACCCTCTCCACCTTTCCACCCAGCCTCCCCACATTAGTCCACAACCTTCCACCCAGCCCCCTGTCCAACCTTCCACCCAGCTCCCCACACACTCCAACCTTCCAATCTAGCTCCCACACACCCAACCTTCCACCCAGCCCCCACAGTCCAACCTTCCACCCAGCCCCCACACAGTCCAACCTTCCACCCAGCCTCACACCAAAACAAACCCACACTGGGATTATATGGCTGAAGCCATGGCAGCCGCCTCCCTAAAGGTGGGGCTATAGTCCCTTGTGGACAATCTCCAAGGATAAGACTTTTCTACACCCCTCATTAGTGTGCTACTCATACCCACACTGGTGCTGGACACACCAGCTGGGTGGGGGGGGTGGGAAGTGAGGGAGCGAACACGGACAAGCGGTATATCGATCGCTTGGAGGGAAGGGGAGACGGGGAAGGGGGAGAGGGAGAGAAGGGAGGGGAGAGGAGAGGGAAAGAAAGCATGGAAGAAAGGGGAGATGGAAGGGTAGGAGGGAGAGAAGGGGGGGAGAGGGAGAGAAGGGGGAGAGGAGAGAAGGGGGGGGGAGAGGAGAGAAGGAGGAGGAGAGAGCGGGGGAAGGGAGGAGGAACGAGAGGGGAAGAGGAGAGGGAATAAGGAGGGGGAGAGGTAGTAAGGGAGAGGGAGATAGAAAAAAAATGCGGATTTTACTCAAGAACAGAAACGTAAATACTAGAAAAAATAATATCAAGTTTCAGGATTCGAAATTTGGAGAAAAAAATATTATAATAATCACAATTAAATCATCGCGCATGGGAAGAGAAGCAGAAAGATAAACATGAAAATTAACCCAAAAAAATCACGTGAAAAGTAACAATAAAAAATTAAGCGGGAAAAATGAGCCGAGGAAATAACGCGGGAAAAATAAACCAAGGAAAAGCGCGGGAAAAATGAGCCGATGAAATAACGCGGGAATATTAAGAAAAATTCACGGGGAAAAAATAAAGTCAGGGATAAAACGCGGGGAAATATTAATCTTAGATAAATGTCAGGAAAAAACTCTGCCAACAGTATCTGGGTCAAACGCTGGCGACTATACATTATAGTATATGTACAAGAAATCCATATCGCGGGGACTACCATCTATAATTTAGTAGCACCTTACTCGACGCTCTCAACTGCCACCAGTTTTTCATACTCACGATAAAAAAACAACAATATTTTACTAATGCACAACCCAAGTTGACCGACCGTCTGACAGGGAAATTCAATTACATAAGCAAAGTCGATGATCTGTCTGCAAAGGGTGAATAGGTAAACATGGTAAGTCGACGGTCTACCAGTTATAGGAGATACGAACCCACTGTAATATTTCATTCCCGACTGTGGTAATTTCATGTGATTTTAAGTTTTCAAATGTATTTCTGGAGTTTTAATTTTACCGTAAGTTAGAGAACGTGAGTCGGAGAATATGAGTCAGAGAACGTGTCATAGAACGTTACGGTTAAGCCTCACTGCCAATTACCAAATCAATCTAGCCTCCATCTTTAAGTGGCAGCTTTTGAGTCGGGTACAGTGTGACACTATATACTATTTTGGCGGTAAATTCTATCCAGTGGTGGCGGTGTAATATCCTAGGTGTAATTCCGCCCAGTGTAATTTTGTCCAGTAATATTTCTGACCAGTGAGATTCTGTCCAGCGAAATTTGTCCATTGAGATTTTGTTTCAGTGTAATTTTGTCTCGTGGGCTTTCCTGTTGAGATTTTGTCCGGTAAATGTGAGGTCGTGTAGTGTAGTAGGATCATTGACACCCCCCACCCCACCCCCACCCCACCTACTGCTGCTGGCGCCAGTGTAAAGGGAGGAGGAGGGGGGTGGGGAGACACCGATGGCTCCTGTAACTGTTGAACACGCAACTCTCTCTCTCTCTCTACCTTGATTAGCTCTCTCTTTAACGTGATTCTCTCTCTCTCTCTCTAAATAAAGACAGCACTGTAAATGTTAGTCCGTCTCTCTCTCTCTATCCCACAAAACAAGGAGAGAGAGAGAGAGAGAGACCTTAATACAAGATGAATATAATAATAATAATAATAATAATAATGCCATTAAACATACCGAACGCATCAGAACACTCTCATCTCCCCTTCCAAGAAAGCCAAGAATGCAGCCATCCGAACACTACTAATGCTCATAGATTGTCCACACGCCGAGAAGACAGGAGCCCCGTGCGTCCGAATGCCTTCATCTTGGCCACATAAACAAATAATTTTTTTTTACTGGCTCCGAAAGTCAGATTTGTAAGGATTCGAACACGGGGTAGAGGCACGTACAGGTAGATTATTGACACGGTACAGGTAGATTATTGACACGGTACAGGTAGATTATTGACACGGTACAGGTAGATTATTGACACGGTACAGGTAGATATTGACACGGTACAGGTAGATATTGACACGGTACAGGTAGATTATTGACGGTACAGGTAGATATTGGCCACGGTACAGGTAGATTATTGACACGGTACAGGTAGATATTGACCTTACGGTACAGGTAGATTATTGACACGGTACAGGTAGATTATTGACACGGTACAGGTAGATTATTGACACGGTACAGGTAGATTATTGACACGGTACAGGTAGATATTGACACGGTACAGGTAGATATTGACACGGTACAGGTAGATTATTGACACGGTACAGGTAGATTATTGACACGGTACAGGTAGATTATTGACACGGTACAGGTAGATTATTGACACGGTACAGGTAGATTATTGACACGGTACAGGTAGATATTGACACGGTACAGGTAGACGGAGGTAGATGTTTCCTTACATGAGTAGAGTCACACGAGGGGAAATTAACAGTCACATGAGGGTACATTAACAGTCACACGAGGGGAAGTTAAGTCACATGAGGGTAAATTAACAGTCACATGAGGGTACATTAACAGTCACACGAGGGGAAGTTAACAGTCACATGAGGATAAATTAACAGTCACATGAGGGGTACACATTAACAGTCACACGAGGATAAATTAACAGTCACACGAGGGGAAATTAACAGTCACATGAGGGTACATTAACAGTCACACGAGGGGAAGTTAAGTCACATGAGGGTAAATTAACAGTCACATGAGGGTACATTAACAGTCACACGAGGGGAAGTTAACAGTCACATGAGGATAAAGTGGCACAATGAGTCACAGTTTGCTTCTGGTAATAAGGGGACACAATTCACCAGGCCACTGAACCGAGGGTGAGGGGAGGCAGGGGGAGGGTTATGAGGGGAGAAAGAAGGGAGGTGGGGTCCAATTAAGGGGAAAGAGAGAGGAGGGGTGGTGAATAGGGGAGGAGGAGGGGGGTGAGAAGGGGGAGGAGAGGGGAGGTTGGAAGGAGGATTGGGGGAAAAAAAGGAGGGGAAAAGAAAGGGAGGGAATAAAAGAAGAGAGGGAAAAG